AGAGAAAGAGACACTTAGAATTTTTTTTTTTAAGCAGGTAACTACCACATTTGGCTACATCATCCAGACAATCAAAACTGCATTCTGTATATTTACAGTGGAAACTGAGAGCAATAGAAAAATAATACTCTCCACTTTCTGGCTATGCTCATACTGGAATATTCCCCCCCATTCTTTCTGAAATAGAACAACAGACAGTTTCTTACCTGGGAGGATGTTGTACTTCGTTTAGACTTGTTATCTAGAGGATAAAAGCATTAATGGTACATTTAGAGTGTTTGCATTTAGGCATCCTCATAGACTACCACCTTTTACACATTGCCAATACCTTACCCAAATCTTCCCATACTTGTCTGTGCAGCAGTTTCCTAGATAATCATTAACAGAGATTCTTTCCCAGTCCCTCCTTACTCTCCCGGGACCCCTCCTACAACTAGCACTCACTCTGAATGCATCCTTCAAATGCTAGGATAGGCTTCTCTACTATTACACCTTCTACAAAAGCCTACCCAAGAAATCTTCCAACCGCTCCAACTACAGTGATGCAGGAGGCAGATGACCTACACCAGATGCAGGCTACAGCCTTCTTTCAGACAGTCTACAGCTATGACTATTGATGTTATGACCAAGTACTGTTAATCCCACTGACTAATCTTAATCTGGACATTAATACATGACCTGATAAACATATGGAAGTCCTAATTAGCCCTGGAGAAGGAAAAAGTTCTCAGCGCTCTGCTAAGCAAGGCCCCAGTAAAAACACAAACAAGCCAAAAACCAAACAAAAGCACAGGTGACCTGCCAAGTCAGTATCTGTTCTACACTTGAGAAACTTAAAATTGACATGAGACTTCAAAAGAGCAGCATGTCAAGTTCACAGTTTCACTCCACTCTTATATGAAGCTTTTCAAGCATAAGGCCATCCCATTCTACCAGGACAGAAAAGTTCAAGGCTTAAGCTTTGCTTTTGGCTCCCACCCCTCAGTGCACTGTCAGTGTGCATGCTACACTTTTTAATGCAAGAAAAAGCAAAACTAGAGCTGTCAGATCAATTATCTTCAGTGCCACCCAGCTTTAGTTCTTGACTTGTTAGAACAGAACAGCTGTGCAAAATTTTCAATGATATCAAAGCTTGTGAACATGACAGGCCAAGACAGACTCGGACTACTCCAGATCAGACTGTTCTGAAGTCTAAACTCTTCCAGGAAGGGGTAACACGAACTGTTTAGAGCTAATCTCACCAGAGCTGAGATTATAAAATTGTTTCATCTGTTGGTCTGGAAGCCAGACAAAGATTTGTGCCTCCAAGAAAGATTACTGGTATAGTTACTTCTCCACCCCCATAACTTCTAAGCAACAGACCAGATTTCAACTCTTTATACACGTACATTCAAACTCATACAAACATTGGCTGGAAAGGACCTGTATTTAATCCAACTCCTGACTCAAAGCATGCCTAATGTCAATACTATATCACATTGACCCTGCCTTTGTTTAGTCAAGTATTTAAAACCTCAAAGGATGGAGGATCTACAACTTCCACAAATGATCTGCTACAATGCTGGAACACCTACCTAGGAAAGTCTTATTTTCCCTCCTAACACCCAATCTGAGACACCCAAGACTTAATAAGGGGGAACAGCCACAGGCTGCACTGTGTGCCACTACTAAAAATAGCTTGGCATCATTGTCCTTCCAGCCTTCCTTCAGCTAGTTGGTTTTGGCTACCAAATTCCCTGTTAGCCACCTTTTTGCCAAACAAGAGACAACCAAGTACCTCAACGCCTCCTCACAGGTACTGTAGGTCTCCGAGTCACAGCACGTCTCTGCTGGATCAACAGAACCGGTTAACACAAATCACTGAGCAGGACAGACTCCAGCCCAAAAGGTAGCTCTATGTACAGGTTTACACAAGACTGTGCATCAAATTCTAGTCCAAAGGGACCCCAGAATGTGACCACCACACACTGCTGGATACACATCAACAAGGAACTAGCAGTGAGAGCACATATAGGTCAGGTTTAGCAGGCTTACCTTTGCTGTCTGTATTTTGGTTGGTCTTTGCAGGATTTTTACCAGAATCATTGCTCTGTTCAGAAGTTTTTAGCAGCTTGGTAGTTAAGGCAGTAACATTTTCCTCAGACGTGAATGAAATTTTAGGTAACAAAGAAGCAGCTTCTGCAGAGAACCGTACTTTCACACTAAATAAAAAGAGGTTTTATACAAAATGAAAGTGAATCAACGTTCATAAAGAGCCTATCTGTCATAGTCTACATATACCCAATAAAGGGACATCAACTTGTCTCGACTTGTTTTTTTACCATAGAGAACAGCCAAGCACCAGATCATGACTTACAGCAGCCTAGCACTGAACTGATCACTGTTGGAGAATTCACACTATACATTTGCATCAAATATAAGAGCAGCTGAAGACAAATAAGTTTATTCAGTTTTGGTTACCAGATTCTCATTAGAAATTATAAGACCAAATTATTTTCTACACAAACAGTTACAGTTGTTCTTGCAAAAGAAAGCAATGCAGCCTCAAAGGTACTTCCATAAAATAGGTAATTCAAGAGAAACAATAAAACAGCATAATCAGTGCAAGAGCTGCAAAATTGAGCCAAGACTTCAAGTTCATGCCTTCAGCACAATTAAGGTACGATTCTTTTGCCCTATGTCCCCTTATCCGTCCCACATGCAGCAAGAATTCTTGGACCATTTTATACTGCAGATTTTTCTTTCACTCTCAACATAACCCATTAAAAATAAGCTAGATGCACAGCAGCTTTCCAAGCCCTTAAAGAAATTTCACAAGTGCTACATTAGCTTCAGCTAGAGAAATAACTTTAAAGTGTAGTGTACACTATTTACTCACACTTCAGTTTTGAATTCCAGAAGTAAGATTACAACAGAGACATCTTGCTCTGGTGTCTTTTTCAAGATACAGTAATCCACTTCTTCATCCTGATAATACAAGGAAAACACCTTTGAAGTGCCCTCCCGTTTATAAGAAAAGGGACATATTCCCCTCCCAGGCAGATGTTACCATTCTTAGTCCACCAAGTTGTAAACTTGAATTATCCTTAAGAACCTGCCCATGTCTAAAGCCCCCACTCTTTTTTTTTTTATTTTTTATTTCTTCCAACCGTTCCTGGAGTAACATAGACTATGAGATGTCCTCAGCTTAGAAAAGTTCACTTCTCTTACTCTTACCAGGTAAGTGGAGAACCCATCATTCCTTGTTCGATCCAAACTGAACCCCACCTATGAGATAATTGAGAAGAATCTGTCAAATTAAAACAGCTCAGGTTCCCCTAGTATCAGAAGCCAAAACATCACTGAAAGAGTCAAAGATACTGCTCTCTAAATAAATTAACCTATGTTTAAGGCAGAATCCAGGTATTTCTCATTAGCTAATTTAGACAGAAAAAATTATTTAAATCTAATAAACTTGCTGCTTCATCCATATCCATCAAGAATAAAATATATACTGATTCAAAACCAAACTAGAGTACGTTCTGTCCCTGAACCTTTTAACTTATTTCAGTACTTTTCCAGATGTTTTTGCTTGAGGGAAACATTTAATACTTTTAGTAATAAAGAGGTCAATCTGTGCAGAAGAGTAAGAACACAGGTCTGTTTTCTACCCTAGTATTTCAGTCTCTCTATTAACATCACTAATATAATGTGCTATATAGCATGTAGTGTTAAGAGTCCTCTAAAAATAAGAGAGTCACTGTTCTGGAAACCTACTGAAACAATGATTACAAGATGCATTGCAACGCAACAGGACAACAATGTGAAAACCTCACATCAGAGGACTGCTTAGGAAACCTATGTTCAATATAGGTTATGGATGTGTGCATCAAGTTCAGTAGAGGATCAGGTAAGTTAAAAGTTTATCCTTAAAGCAGAATGGATAGTGCTCAAGGATAAATCTCACAATATACATACCCTCATAAACGGCTCACAGTGGGGAGCAAAGCCAACAGCACCACCAGTTAGGATCTGACACCTCAAACAAGGTAAGGCATCCAGTGCAAGAGCAATTTCACAGGAAGCTTAATATAGTCATTGGACTCAAAGTAACTTACTGATAAGCTATTCTTGTCATCAGAGCCCACAGGTGGCTTCAATGAAAGGTTGCTGACATGGACTTTCATGAAACCACCCTTGAAGAAGCCAAAGGTATTCAGGTGCACTTTCTGCCTCACATCATCCTGTAACAAAGGAAAGAAAGTTTACAAATCACATACACAGTCATCTGCACCAGCAGTCAAAGAGGAATCAGGGTGACAGAGATTGACACTTAAACTTAAGTATTCATGCAAAACATCAATCTGATCATACCAAGAGCAAATTTCTTTAGGATACCGTCAGATATAACCAATTGTTTCACTGGAATCAACCAACTCTTCCAATAACCTGAACAGCAAGAACTTTAAATAACTGTGTCTTTCTAATTACCTGGCTATACTACTGAGAAATATGCAAGAAAGAAGTCTGAAAGAAATTAAATACCTGGCATGAGTGATTAAACAAAATATTGCTACCAAAAAAGAAGACTGGAGACTGTAGACAAATCAAGACAACTATTGTTTGAATACTAGCTACTGTCATCGCAACAGACTGAAGAGCAATTAGTTGACCACAGTGATCTTACCCAGCTGGGCTGGATTTTGGCCAAGTGTTTAACAAGTATCACAGTGTATTGTCATCCCATCTGATTTTCTGTGTTAGGCAGGTCAACATTTGGGCAGTCAAACACCTAACACACTGGAAAATTAGCATATGGTGTAGATGAGAAAACTTCTTATGTAGTCCCATTCCTCCATATGATTTTTAGCAGGGCCTTGCATCATGTAAGTAGGATAAATACTGAAAACTGCATACATGTGTTCAAACAGAATTACTTGGGTTAGTTTCTCTAACAGGAAAATTCCAATCTCTTCCTCTGCTCCCAGTCTTAGTTGCAGAATAATTTACTGCCTGTCAGTCTGGCAAGGAAATTGTAGAAATTGATCCCTTTCCATGCCTTGCTCAGCTGATAAATGTTCAAGTACAGTGAGGGTTTGGGTTTTTTTTAAATAAGGAGGTCATGAAGGACCTCGCATGAGAAGTAATAAACATTACACACAGTTGCCACATCAGATGAGGAAAGGTCATATCCCCGCTACTGCACATTCATAAATCAATTAATAGGTATGCAGTTGGACCCTCAAACCTACTGAATCATTAATCAGAAGAAAAGCAGAAACAGAGCAACAAAAATTAAAAAGCAAGCTTAAAGTGTGATCTACAACACTTTTACAAGTTGTCACTAAAAGTAAGAAAATTGTTTCTTCTTCCTGTTTCTTCTAGGAAAAGTTAATCAGATTGCAGAATACTCTAAGCAGAGAAGTCAGCTGCTAAAGGTAAACAAACTGTTCTGGACAAGGTACTGGAAGACTGGGCTAAGAATTGTAGAAGTACAGTAAGTTGTCTCTCTTCCTTTACCCCAGTATTAATTTTGACATCTCTGCATAAAACATTCCTGACACGTAACTATCACTCACTGTAATAGCAGGACACTAACGCTGACACAGCTAACGTGTAATCTAGCTGTAATAAGATTGCCCTAATAGAATCATGTTAACCTGGCAAATAACCAGATGGTTCCCTTAATGCTCAGAAGAGGAAAAAAAAAGTTAGTGACACATGGCTCACAGCAGATGCTTTGTTCAACAGAGTATTATAGCTGTGCTGTCTTTGGGTTCTAGGTCACTTAATGTGCTCGACACAAGAGCCCATCTGGTTCCTTTAATACTGCTTTCAATATCATTTCCCAGTCAGAAGATTAATGCTAGCTCTTTACATCACACATAATACGTAATTAAACACATCTGGAAAGACAAGCATTTACCTGAGTGACTAGGTAGAGGGGAATATGAGGGGGGAGATACAGTGTCATCCAGCCACAAGGTGTTCTGCACCTTGTAAACATGACCAGAGGCAACTGCTTAATTCAGAGTACTTGCAAAAGCTATTCAGTTCAATTTATTGACTCTGTGAGTTTACTAATATGCTCTCCACCAACAAAAGATAATTAATATACACCACACACACTTTCCTGCCCGGTTTTATCTCAGCTTTGAGTGCTTAGAGTTTACAGATTTAGTTCACAAATCCTTCAGCTTTACATGATCCCACACACACTGTCACCAGTTGCCACCAAGCAACAGCACATGCTCCAAGAGCATCTACTACTCTGCGTATCAACAGCTTAAAGATACTGGCTTACTAATAACTGTCTCACCTCTCACAGGAGGTTTAACAGGTTGGAAGAATCTGGCTTTCATTTATATCACTCAACCACTGACTTCAGAAATATTCAATTGGAAGTTTACAAAGGTGTGAATGCATACAAGTGAATACTTCAGCATCTGAGTTGTTAGCACACACATTATGTTAATTTACATAGGATGCATTTAACAGTTAAGTCTACCATTTGAGAATGGATGACCTGGGACTCATCACTAGCCAATACAGGAAATTCTCAGCTTATTTCCATAAAAAACTTCCCCACTTCTTCAGGATAAAAATGGATCTGGCAACATTTGAATAATATTACAGGAAAGTGGTATCCAAGAGCCTGTAGCCCAGAATAGGCAGAAAAATACTCTTTAACATTTTACCCAAAATCTAACTGGGAACACACTATTAGTACAGTGGAAGTTTCATCAGAGAGTGCTTACCCTTACATAGAAGAGATTTTATTATTTGTGTGAGATTAATAGCAAGACTTATAATTTGTGTCAGACTAAATGAATTATTGTGAAAGGTATTTTCAACTTCAGCAATTGAAGCCTGACACCTACCAACATTAAAAGGCTACAGTATTTATACAGTATTTGCAAACCACCACTGAAAAATAATGTCTTCCAAATAGTAATTTAACATGAAATTGCAATCTTGGCAATATCATAAAATAAGAGGGGTCTTCCTTCCCTTTTGGAAGCCAGTTAATTACAAAGATAACTCACTTTAATCAGAAACTAACACCACAGCTGCTACATAGCATTGTCAGTTGGATGGTTCCTCTTGATAAATCACTAGGAAACTGGTATGTTTGGATATTCACTAGCATTAAACTCAACTTCCTCATTCTCTGAGACAGGTTGCCATTGCATTACGCAAAACATAAGGCTTCAATATTATAGCATTCAACTGCTAAGACAAAAAAAAAAAAATCAATCTTATTTTAGGTCAAGAGAAACATTCCAACTACCAGCTACTTCTGGAAACCTCTGAAAAATGTTTCCAGTGTTCTATAACTTCAGTTTGTGTAGGTTTGTTTGCGCTTTTTTTAAACATATGCCATTAAAGTAATGAAGCTGATAACAATTGCTACTAAGAGAAAAGAGCCTCCTTTGATGAGGTTAGTGTAATATCAAGATTCATACAAATCCTTTTTCTAACTCTGAAGAAATAAATCATTTTGTATGTTTTTATAAAAGAAGTTACTTTCAGTTACTCAGGAAACCACTCAGACTGTGGCTTATTTTTCTGACAACAACAAAAAAGCATCACCTTAGCATGCTAATTACAAAGATACAAGAATGAGGCTATTCTAACTTCAGCAATAACAGCTTGTTTGAGGAAACCCAATATCAAACACTCACACAAAGCTGTGGCCTTTACCTTGGCATAGCGTCAAAGCACACTTACAAGCAAGAAGCCGATGGCAAGAACACTAGAAGGGAGATTACATTGTGAAACAGTAGTTGTTGGGGGCGTGACGTTTACATAAATGCTGTAAAGCAGCAGAGAAAGCAGAAAAGGAGAGACTGTGCTCTAACAATAAAGCTCCTGTTTATAGAGAAGGTGGACAAAAACAGTAACGCACCTCTACTTTCCACAGTGCTTGGTGGGTCAGTGTTGCAACTCACACAAAATACCTACAAAACTAAAAGCATACCCCACTTTGATTGTAAAAATCAAACATGGTTTAGTAACTGATCCAGGTGGTTAAGAGACACCCTAATAGGAACTAGAAGCCGTAATGTTTGCTGCTGAGAACATTTGCTTCAGGCCAGTTTGACAGCTTTCTATGTATGGGAAAACTATCACCCCAGGAGAGATTCTCCCAGCACTCAATTGTTGGTCACAAATTCCTCAAAACAATAATGTAACCAGCACACACTTCCTAATTTATTGCTTCAGAGAAAAGTTTACTTTTTCTGAAGCAGAACAATATTCATGTGGTTGCACATTAGCCAATTACATAGTCTGGAAAATTCCCTATGAATAAGTCATGAATGTCCCCTTGGCATTTACTGTATCTCAAAGGCTGAAGGGGAGCTCCTGCAAAGTTTTGGCACTCTGCCTAAACTGCTATGAGAACACAGTAATGCTGGTCCTAGTCATATACCACTTTATTAACTTCTTCCAACGTTTCTATTAGCAAAATGTTCCATTTTGTTGACAAGAACATAATTAACAACCTCATTCTGAAGATTTACAGAGTACTTAATGAACTATACAGAGGCCCTTAAAAAGCATCACCCCAAACGCACAGTTCCTCTATCGCGTATCCACTGCACAGCTTTTCATTTAAAACACAACAGGTAGCAGCACTCTGGAACTGCGGATCTTTGCCATGATCTGCACCACTTCCCACCAACCACCCTGAATAACTAGTTTTTCTCAAATATAGGCACAGGACAACACAACACTTTTTCAAAGCACAACCAGAACTCTATTAAACTGAAATAGAGAGCTATCAGCATCAATATCTTTTTCAGCCTCTACCAATCGCTTTGTTAGTGTGAAGAAACTACATCTGGAAGGCCAGTAAGACAGCCATGCAGTCTTTCAGAGTCGAGCAACCAGTGATCAGGATAGCAAGACTCCGGCAGAGCGCAGATTCAAAGCAAAAACACCCCCAAACTCCCTTCAGAAGCTTCCCCACATCCCACGTTCAGCCCTCTCTCATCACACACAGCTTTCTACCTCGCTTTTAACAGGACACGAAGCTTGTGCACCTTCAAAGCACTGCAGTTCTGAGGCTCCTTCACACATTTTCCCCACGACGAAGAAACAGACGGCCAAAAAGGCAGGGATGGGGCTAAGGGGATGCGGGGGGGACACAACAGGAAAATCAGAACACGGCGAGGCTCGGGCAGGCTGAGGCGCAGAGGGAGAGCCCCGAAAAGTAGCGAAGAAGGAGAACTGCCGGGGGAAGGCA